TCTCTAAAAGGTTCGCCATCACTGTCTTAGAAGCAGGTGTCAGGAGGGTTCAGATCTGCAAGTCAGAAGCTCAGCCAACCAGCTGGCCAAGTTGGCTGTCTCTTGATCCTGAGGAGGACCTTCAGAAAGTCTGGTTTCCAGCTGGCCTTTTCTTAAAGGACTTCCCATCTTGGGTTGCTTCCAGAAACGGGCCTCTCCGAGCACCATCACTCAGAAATGTATGAGCTGCTTTTGCTAATGCAGCCCATAAAAGGAGAAATGTTTGCTGGAGGGTTAGAGAGAGAGAGGGGGGGGGATTTTTGGACCGAAAGAAAATGCCAGGCATTGCACAAAGGGCAGCTAATACTGCTTGTGGCTGCCTGTCAAGGAGGCAAACATTTCTTAATCGGTGTTTCTTAACCTTCTATGAAAGGGACTGTTGTACTTGTTATATTCCACACAAGCCAAGGTGGCTGCTTAAACGCAGCTCACATCCCCCAGATGCACAACTGTCATTCCCAATCGTTGCCCCTCCCAGATGTGTTGGATCGTGATTTCCATTCTCAGCCAGCCAGCCAGCCAGCCAAGCCAAATTTGGACAGCATCGTTCCAAGGAAGGCGGACGTAGAAGATATTTATATCACGTCAGAATTTCCATGCCGTTATTCTGTAAAATGCATTGTTGTTAGTTGCAAAGTCGTGTCCGACCTATCGCGACCCCATGGACAACGTTCCTCCAGGCCTTCCTGTCCTCTACCATCTTCTGGAGTCCCTTTAAGCTCACGCCTCCTGCTTCAGTGACTCTGTCCAGCCACCTCGTTCTCTGTCGTCCCCTTCTTCTCTTGCACTCAGTCTTTCCCAGCATTAGGCTCTTCTCCAAAAGAGAATAGCTTTGTAGCTTGAAATGATGGGTGCTTGGTGCTCTCTGAGCTTGGTTGTTTTCAGGCAGATGTTTCATTATCCAGACTAACACTGCCAGCACTGATGATGTTACCTAGTTGGGTAAGGAAACGTCTGCAAGAAAACAACCAAGCTCAGAGGCACCAAGGACCCCTCATTCCTGCACATCCTGGTGATGACCATGAACTTGGATGGCTTTAGAGGGGCAGGGTTAAATTCATGGAGGAAAAGGCCCATTATTATAATAATAATAAAGTTGGAAGGGACCTTGGAGGTCATCTAGTCCAACCCCCTGCTCAGGCAGGAAACCCTATACCATTTCGGACAAATGGCTGTCCAGTCTCTTCTTAAAAACTTCCAGTGTTGGAGCATTCACTGCTTCTGGAGGCAGGTTGTTCCACTGGTTAATTGTTCTCACTGTGAGGAAGTTTCTCCTTAGTTCTAGGTTGCTTCTCTCTTTGGTTAGTTTCCATCTGTTGCTTCTCGTCCTGCCTTCAGGCGCTCTGGAGAATAGCTTCACTCCCTCTTCTTTGGGGCAGCCCCTGAGATATTGGAAGACTGCCATCATGTCCCCCCTCGTCCTTCTCTTCGTTAGACTAGACATACCCAATTCCAGCAACCATTCCTCATATGTTTTAGCCTCCAGTCCCCTGATCATCTTTGTTGCTCTTCTCTGTACTCTTTCTAGAGTCTCAACATCTTTTTTACATCGCGGTGACCAAAACTGGATGCAGTATTCCAAGTGTGGCCTTACCAAGGCATTGTAAAGTGGTATTAACACTTCACGTGGCTCTCTTTTCCAGTTCTGCTCCCCAGCTAATACCTTCCTCTAATAGGTTTAAGCTGTGCAAGTCTAAACTAAATTTAACAAGGCTTCAAAACTAGAAGTCCATTCTGGGCCTGGCCAACAAAAAATTAGCTACCGTTTCTGCCGAACTGGTGCGAACTGGCTGAATTCCACCACTGGTTTACTCCTGGTAGGAAGCTACTAGGGGAAAGCACGCCAAAACATCACCTGGGAACATGAAGCACGGTGATTTTAACTTGGGGCATGGTGAAACTGATGAAAGAATTATGAAATTGACTAGATCCCCTTGTGCTATCTAAGGGCTAGTGCAGGGATAGGCAACCTTGGCTCTTTTATGACTCGTGGACTTCAACTCCCAGAATTCCTGAGCCAGCCATGCTGAGGGGAAAGGGAGAGGTTTCCATACTGAGCCATGCTGGCTGAGGAATTCTGAGAGTTGAAGTCCACCAGTCATGAAGGGACCAAAGTTCCCCCATGCTGGCTGAGGAATTCTGGGAGTTGAAGTCCACAAGTCATGAAGGGACCAAAGTTCCCCCATGCTGGCTCAGGAATTCTGGGAGTTGAAGTCCACAAGTCATGAAGGGACCAAAGTTCCCCCATGCTGGCTCAGGAATTCTGGGAGTTGAAGTCCACAAGTCATGAAGGGACCAAAGTTCCCCCATGCTGGCTGAGGAATTCTGGGAGTTGAAGTCCACGAGTCATAAAAGAGCCAAGGTTGCCTACCCCTGGGCTAGTGGATGTCCAATTAGCTGAGCTTGGTGGACCCCTAAAAACCAAGGAGGGTTCAAAGACCTTGGAAGAACGTGGATGGAAGCCTCTCAAGGATTGTTAAGGCTGCATGCTGGAAGTCAGAACACTTCCTGAGAGAAAGCAATGGCTGACCTATTCTGAATGGCTGCCAAGAAAACTACCTCACTCAATTCATGATGTCACCAGGAATTGTACTTGACTTGAAGGAGACTTTGAATGGGCAAAACATGAGGAGAAGGTGGAAGGGAAGGGTGCCCCTGTCTCCACTTCTCTCAAGAGATTATTGGTGGACAGGAAAGGGCTGATGTCATTTTTTCCTTTTTTAGTAACTTACATCAAACGCCTAGGAGTAAAGAGGAATGTCGCAGCTTGTGTGTGTCCTTATTCATGTCTGACCCAGAACGTTGCCCTGAACAGAAACAGCAGCTCCTGCAAGCCGAATGCAGTCATCCTTTCTAACTCCAATTATTTCTCCTGCTGTTAAACCTTTGCACTCCCGTTCTAGACCAAGTAGCTTTTTCTGCAGTGTACAGTATTTGCTAACTGAGCACATGGACAGAGTCACTCAGGAAACAAACACACAAAAGAGGTTTAAAGGCAATTCATAATTAGGACTTTACCTCTTGCACAGCAATTCAAGGTCTGCTCTCAAAACAGGGGGGTGGAGCTGAGATCCAATGTGGAACGGGCTTTTAAAAATATCCATTTATTTTTAAAAAAATTATTTCCCCTCCCCATAAAAGATTAAAAAAATAATTCATTCTCGCTGATCCCTCCTCACACTCCCCACACCTCCTTCGTGCTTCTTGGTTCGGTTTCCTGGAAACAAATAGCGGGAGATTATTTGATTGTTGTTAGATGGCCTCACTAAATGGTGCAGGAATCTCCAAGCTCTAGGAATGTTGTGGGGCATTCTGGATACTTGCCAGATCACACATGGTGCCTGAGTTGTGACTTTTGTATTATTGGTCTAAATATGCTGTCTGGGGAATTCTGGGAGTTGAGGTCCACATGTCTTAAAGTTGCCAAGTTTGAGGAACGTGTGTTTAAGTAGTCCAAAAGTTGGTTCTTTTCCACCTTTTTTATGGTATGGGGTATGGTTTCACTCAACCCCCATAAGAAGATCAGTGCCAACCCAGGCAGCTGCGTTGCACAATATGCTAGATTTGGTTGGTTGGTTTTAATCTTGAACAGTTCAGTCTCATCATGATAAAGGTGTTTTTACACCAATCACCCTCCTTCTCAGTCTGATGTGCACAAAGCCAGAGAATGGGTTGATCCGGTAATCAGGACGAGAGTGTGAATGCAGCCAATGGAAAAAAGTCAGATGAAAATCTGTTCTGTATAACATGTAGTTTGGCACAAAGTCTTGGCTTTCTCTCAGTCTGGCCTCACTGCCCACCTTCTTTTTTTCCTTTCCTTTCCTTTCCTTTCCTTTCCTTTCCTTTCCTTTCCTTTCCTTTCCTTTCCTTTCCTTTCCTTTCCTTTCCTTCTCTTTCTCTTTCCTTTCCTTTCCTTTCTCTTTCCTTTCCCTTTCCTTCCCTCTTTCTTTCATTCCTTTCCTTTCCATTCCTTTCCTTTCCATCTTCCCTTTCTTTTTCCTTCTCTTTCTCTTTCTCTTTCTCTTTCTCTTTCTCTTTCTCTTTCTCTTTCTCTTTCTCTTTCTCTTTCTCTTTCTCTTTCTCTTTCTCTTCCTTTCCTTTCCATTCCTTTCCTTTCCATCTTCCCTTTCTCTTTCCTTCCCTTTCTCTTTCTCTTTCTCTTTCTCTTTCTCTTTCTCTTTCTCTTTCTCTTTCTCTTTCTCTTCCTTTCCTTTCCTTTCCTTTCCTTTCCATCTTCCCTTTCTCTTTCCTTCCCTTTCCCTTTCTTTCCTTTCCATTCCTTTCCTTTCCATCTTCCCTTTCTCTTTCCTTCCCTTTCTCTTTCTCTTTCTCTTTCTCTTTCTCTTTCTCTTTCTCTTTCCTATCCTATCCTATCCTTTCCCCACTCTTTGAGACTTTTCCCATCTCAGACTGCTCTGTTCTCCTATCATGACTCGCTTGAAACACCAGGAATAGGCTTACTTGATGCTTCCAAACCAGCAGGTCAAAATCACCGTTAACCAGATATACGGATAATCCTCAATTTCCAACCATTCATTTACCGACTAGTTGAAATTACAACAGCACTGAAAAAGTGACTTCCAATTGCTCCTTGCACTTACAACCATCTTAGCATCCCCACAGTCACGTGATCAAAATTTGGGCACTTGGCAACTGGCCTCTATTTATGGTGGTTGCAGCATCATGTGATCATCATTTGCAACCTTCCCAGGCAACTTCCGACAAGCAACTTCAGATTTGCTTAAGAACAGCAGTGATTTGCTTAAAAACTGTGGCAAGAAAAGTTGTAAAATTGGGTATACCTTATTTAACAACCCCCTTGCTTAGCAATGGAAATTGTGGTCCCAATTTTGCTCATCAACTGAGGATGACCTATCATTGCGGATCTCAGAACTGAGTTTGTGATTAACTCAGTCACCTTTTGAGTCCTTAGTCATCCTTGCTGTGTCCTTTCTCCGTAGTACTTGCAACGGACACGGCAAATGGGAGTGTGAAAGCCACGTCTGTCTTATCAACGGGGATATGATCGATGCCGTCAACAGAGGGGATTATGGGTAAGAACAAAAATTCCGTTCTTTGAGTTGACGGAGCATGGGCTGAATTGAAGAATTGGGGTCACACCCAGATGCTGTAGTGCAGTGGTTCTCAACCTGTGGGTCGGGACCCCATTTGGGGTCGATTGACCATTTCACGGGGGTCGCCAAGCAAGGCTGTCCGCCATTTTTCCCCCCTTTTCCGGCGGGTGCCTTACCTCCCTTGGGCTGGGCCAGCTGGTGGTCGGCCTGCTCCGTCTCTGCCGCTTGCCAGCTACGCCTCGGCCGGCGCAGGGGGCGGAACCACGCATGCGCGGCGCTCCCGGGCAGGGAAAGTCCTCGACTTA